GAGTTTCCGTTTTTTTTATATATATTCCTGATTATTATATGGCCATGTCTCAAAAGGACTGGAAAGAAACAAATTCAAGAATTTGACGTTGTATTGGAGGGGGTGGAGGGGTGGGGGGGGGGGGCGTAAAACTGGCAAATTTTAGCCTAACAGGTCCTTAGAAACGAGTTTGTTACTCGCAGGTTTTTACTGCATGGTCATGGTCGAAGTTGGTTTCAACTATTGCGATCGTAAGGGACCTAGTTTTTGATCAACTGTCATCTTCTATCAACTGTAACGCGCTTTCAACATTTTCACATTTTTCATGATAGTCCATGAGAGTTTTCTTTCTTCTTTGGCACCGTTGAGATAGTCGGTGATAGTCGACTAGCTCTGCTTTTGCGTAACCCTCCTTTCGTACGAAATAGCAGAAGAAAAGATCACGCCGCTTTGTCATGTGTGAAGAAAGTATTGAGCAAGTCAGATGATGAAACACCTTAAATTAATAATAACAATAATAATAATGATAATACCAAGTATCAGAACAATAAGTAATATTTACAATTTCAAACTACATATCGAATTGTTTACAATTAAAAACTAAATATATGTCCCCGATAGAAAACTTTTTACAATTGTGAATAATTTAAAAGTGGGAAAAGGAAAGTTAAGCGTTACTAAGAAAAAAAAATATCAAAAATCTGGGCCTAAAATTATGAGTGCAGATGTAGACCAGCTACAGCGAAAGGGAAGTCTTCTGAGACTTCAAGTCTCAATGCTCTAACAGTAACATTAGAAAAATGTAAAAATACCTATATAAATTTATAAAGGTGTATATATCAAAACAGAAAAAAAAAAGAAAATGTTTAGTACGTAAGAATTCTATATGGAGAAAACTTTATAAAAATGTAGCACTGCTAAATACTGCTGTGATTAGTATATGATTCGGATACTATAAAACTAATGCACCTATCAATGTCATGCCGGCGGAAAGGGGGGGGGGGGGGGGAGACTATAATAAAGGAGACCCCATCAAGTTCTTTGTTGTTTGAATATGCGTCGGGGAATAAAAACCACGTGTGCCTATAAGGGGGGGGGGGGGGGGGGGGGGGGGGGGGGGGGGGGACAGGGCATGGGGTGGGATTTGATTGTCTTTGTTGGCCCTGGGGTAGGGCATTTGACTGATCTTGTTCTCCTCAGGGGAGGTGATATTTGAATCTTTCTTCGCCCGACGTGGAGATATTTGACTGCCGACTCGAACGAAAAAGACTGAGACCGAACATATGTTTCCCCCTTCCATGCTTCACGCATGCGCCGTACGGTCTGGAAAGATCTGGAAATCATGGAGGCCGCCAACGGAAACAAGCGAAAGCTGGGTGGATTTCACTGTTTTGTCTCCAAATTTCGTTTGCTTTAGCGTGTTTTTGATCAATTGAACCTCTTAAGATACTGTGGTATCAAAGTAAACGGAAGTAAAGTGAAACGAAGTCGATTCTTGCAAGTACAATTGATCAGTGTATGGCTCATTCGCTACAATCACTGTACAAAGCTTGTAAAACTGACTTTCTTTGTACCCATAATTTAATAAGAATGGTATATTTAAACTTACAAAATGTGGACTTTCTGCTGAAAGGTTTCTGTATTCTACGCAGTGTAACACGGATTATGGTTAAAACGTATAATTGCAGCTGTAACAGGAACATGTATCTTTGATGCAGCAACGTTTATAAATAAAGATTTCAGAGTCTTATTTGGAGATATTTTCATTGTGCCTTTCTTGGGTTCTGCCTTGGGATATTTGGTAGCAATGTGCTGCCCGGGGTGGAGAGATTTAGTTACATTTGACTGGAACAGGAGTCGCCTCCTGACTGGAATGATTTGCCCGTGGGCAGGGAATTTGACGGCAAATTTTTGAAAAATGTCAAATCCCCACCCCATGCCCTGCCACCCCTCCCCCCCCCGCCGGCTTTACATTGATAGGCAGTTAGTATAGGTAATAGCATGATTTTTAGTGATATTTGGCATAAATACCGTGAGTGATATTTCAAAATTGTTATACGTAATTTCACGAGCCGTTAGGCAAGTGAAATTTGCGACAATTTTGAAATATTACAAGTGGTATTTATGCCAAATATCACGTAAAAATCATGCTATTATTTGTTTATACAACTACCCACAAAAGGTTTGTAATTTTCACATGTAGGTATTTCAAATTAAGCTGAAATACCACTGCTCTAAGCCAATCAAATTGCGGAACTTTCTCGTGTAGTAGTATAACAGGAATAATAGTGAGATGTATATATGTTGCAATTAAAATTTTTTACCTCAGGTAATTTTTCTTTTTCTTTTGTTTCAACTTCATTAGCATACATTACCACGCCCAAAAACAAAAGAAAAACAAAAATTATCTGAGACAAAAAATTAACTACAACATATACACTTCATGGATACAAAGGAGAAGGGAAATCAAAAATTGAAAAGGTAGGTTTTAATAGTTGTGACTTAGCGAGTTCCATAACTTCGAGTTATCTAGGGTCAATTTGTCCCACGGGAGCCAAAATAAGTTCGAGTTATCGGGAGTTTCGAGAAATCGAGGGTTCGAGAAATCGGGGATGAAATTGTAGAGCTTTGAAGCAAATCCAAGGGAAACAAGGTTTGGTTCGAGATATCGGGAGGTTCGGGAAACCGAGGGTTCGAGAAATCGGGATTCCACTGTATATCGAGAAACAGCAAGAAAACACCCCGGGAACAACGTAATTCCTGTTAATCCCGAGCTTTATGGCTTAATTAAAGGGCACGCCCCTTCATGTAAGTGCTTATAAGGGTACAGATAGATGAAAAACGTTTGAGTCTAGCACAGCCCTACTTTGAATACTGTTGGCTTAATAAAACTGCGGTGATCTTCGTTACATTTAATTTAAGTGACCTCTTCTTAATTGGCTCCTTGTCCCATTCCATAGCGTGGCTGCTTAATAAAGATTAAACAGAATGGGTTGTATAAATAACAGAGGAGGCCTGCATTTTTTTTTTCCTTTTTGACCAGGTCAAACCAGACAAACCAGAAAAGTTTTTGGGTATACTTTATGATGACTTTATTTCATCTCTGTAATTGCCATTTAAGTCTTTAGCTACAAACTGCTTGCTCTTGGTATTTGATCTGTCCAGTAATCATATCCGATCGCAAGAGGACATGACCGAGTTTCCTCAACAACAACAACAACAACAGCAAACCAACTTTGAACAACAAAAGAATCTTGAAAGGGGCACTGTATTTCATGTTGTGGCAGCATTGAAAGAACACAAAACGTTTAAAACTTAAAAGTACACGAGGTTTCAGTCAGTTGTCGGTAAACAAACTTGGTGATGCAGCAGAAGTTTTTACGCACGCGTTCACCTGTCAAAACTTTGTCCAATCTGAGACTAGATTGGTTGCAACGTGACCAAAGTAGAAGCGTGACCAAGCTAAAAGCAATATTTTTCAAAGGTCTTTGTCGTAAGGCAAACAATCCTAGAAACGCAAGATCTTTACTGGAAAAACTCCATTGGCTACCTTTAGGTAAGCTAGTTAACGTTTCGCCAAGACAAACGCAAGCTGGATTTCTTAGATTCTCCTTTCCCTCCCTTGTAGAGTCTGCTTAGCCCCTCCCTGCTAGTTCGTAGGGGCGTACGGGCGGGCGTACGCTGACGTCATAACCAAATTTTCTCGCATTGATAGGTTGCCATTTTCTATAGCAATGGAGGCTCTGCTATAATGAATGAAACATTGTTTTTTTTTTGTTTGTGTTTGTTGCAGGAGTATTTGATTCTTTAGAATGTGGAAGATTATTCTCTGTCTTCCAGTCATCTGTCTTACAACACTGACAAACGGTAATTACGCAAGTCATGAATTTACTCAAGATGTAATGTTTTGTGAGACCTGCCAACTACAACAGGGTGCGAAATTTATGGTATTACAGTTGTCAGAAATGACCAGATTTTAACAGTGACGAACAAATGGCAGGACATGGTTGCCCTTTGTAGGGCTGTTTTCTAGCAACGCCCGTTGGTTTTGGGTTTAATACCGTTTATGACAACCATCGTGTACATTTTTGGTATTTGTTGGTTTGGGAAAAGTTGGTTTGGAAAAAGTCTTGAATTTTGGATCCAAAAATCTGTACGAAACCTGTTTGCACAATACGACGATGTCATCGAATCAAAACAATGTCATCCCCTTCCCACCCCTCATTCAACCAGCTCATACAATCCTTGTGTTACCGAGATTTTATCCATGGTTAATATGATAAGAAAGTGATTGTCACGCGTTATATGAGTTTATAGCATGCAGCAGCAATACATCTCTCCTCAAACCCAGTTTTCTCAGAGTGTCTTCAGAGTTAGTTTGTTGTACCCAATATTGACATTATTATGTATTTTCCCCCTATTGAAGAAAGCATCACCCGTGATATGAAAATCTCTTTATTTTGTCTTGCCAAAAAATATATCATATATATTATCTTTTGTTATATGAACTACAGTTTTTAGAGGGATTTCTGCCACTAAGAAAAACTGTCACCGATCGCACGTAAAAATACCATAATTTTACGTGTGTTAATATCAGGCAATCAGTGAATGACTACTTGTGTTACCATGAAGACACCTGCCGTTGAAGTCCATAGTCGTCGCCTTACATCCATTGCATGTTTGCTCGGGTTTATAAAGGTACTAAGAAATAAAAGGGGGGGGGGGGGGGGGGGGGAAAACCAGTGTTTTTTTATAAAAAAAATTATTTATTTAAAAATAAAATAATTATAATAATACAACACACTATTGTATATAAATANATACGCATGTTATGCAGAACATTTCTTGGGTAACGCGACGGAAACAGCACCAGCTACAGCGAGAAACTCGATGAGCAAGGCTTGAAACCCGGACCTCCAGATCAAGAGTTCTAGGTCTGTTAATCCCTTGGTCACACACGCCTCCTTATATGTACATGTTGCTGGGCCTAAAAATGGGCTTAAAAGTCACAGTTAACTGCAATGATTCTCTTTGTCAAAATTGCAGGTCAACAGGTGGCAGACCCGCCAATAATTGTTAACTTTCCAACCAAGGATTTACTTGCTCCCGAGGATGTTAAGTTTAGTAGACAAAATGCCTTGAAATTATTATGTGATGCTGTTGGGAGTAACTTGAAATGGACCTGGAAGCACAATGGCACAGCAATTACGAAGCCCGGTGGTAAGTTCACCGTTGGTGCCTATGGAACCTTATACGGAAGTTACCTTGAGAGTGCACAGAGTGGAAATTACCAGTGTTTTGTCAGGGACACTGTTACTGGAATCGAGACATTCAGCAGGAAGATACAGGTTGCTGTTACGGGTAAGGAGTCATTTCCGTATCATTAGCATAAGCAGTTCAACAGATCTAAACAACAACAAAAAAACAATAAAGCCCAAGGCTGTGCTTTTAATGCAGAGCCTGAAAAAAAATTAATTCCAGCTTGTTCTTTGGGCAAGCAGCCCTCACATTTGGCTTGTCCAAGGCCATTTCCTGTTTGTCTAAAGTATATTATGATTTTGTTAGAGGATGACTTGGCTGAAACCTTCAGTCAAGTCAGCTTTAAAAGTTACTTGCCCAGCAAGAATATCTCTTTTCCTCAGCGGACTAGCGGATTTGACTTTTTTTAGCCCTGCAGAAGGCAAGTAAAAAGTCAAGAGTCCTTCATTATAACCCTAAGCGAAGTCCTCCACATTGCAAGAGTCAAAAACTCTTGGCTATATGCTCTAAAAAAACTGAAAGGAGCCAGGTGCTCTGAACCTGTGAAATCCAGGGTTCAACCACAAATGTGCTTGACTCTTCTAAGTGCAACCCTGACTAATTGGGGGCAACAAGAGGAGCCCGCAATCGTAATCTCCAGGTTATTATTACGCATACGTCACATGTATGTAGACAGCATTTGTCTGGACTTCCACTTTGAATGAATTGAATGCACAGAACACAATTTGATCACACGTTTGGACCTTCTGTCACTCATAATCTCACCTGAGATCAGGCGTATTTTTTTTTTTTTTTGCTTCTTTGCTTTTTTGGCTCGAGAGGGAAAAAAACAGATTACAGAGATAAAGGGAGAGGGCATGATCGCAGGCTACTCATAATCTGATCACGCGTGTTTTGACCTATGATCTGTCACGTGAAAGTTACGGGAAGCGTAGCACTGGAGCAAAAGCGTTTTAAGCTTTGATCTTTGTCTCCACACTCCGTAACCTTTGGTTATTACTAGTTTATAGTATTCTTCTTGTTTCCTTGTTCAGTTGTAGGGACATTCACCAATCAAAATGTCCGGGAGGAGTCTGTAGATCTTGGGCAAGAGATTAGTATTGACTGTCCACAGCACTCTGCCAGTTATGGTGTCAGCTACTCATGGAAGGGGAAAATCAATACTGTGGACATACAGTTCAAGAGAAGTGATCGACGCGCCATCTCACAGACAGGGCAACTATTAATCATGTATGTTACCCAGCAAGACATTGACGATTTTGCAGAGTATGACAGCCAAGGAATCAGATGTTTTATGACTGGAGTAAACGGATTTGAAAGTTCTGGTCTTTTAAAATTAAAGAAGAAAAATCCAGGTAAATTCTTTGTTTTTGATAAAAGGAAATCTCAATGACTAAGAAGAAGAACTCCCATCCCATTAAGTATCTGCATTACATGCAACATTTTGGAATTTTCCCTCTGACCTGGTGTCCATCATATGATATTGGTGAAATTAGGCTGTAGGCTATTCTCTGTTTTGACTGTCACACCGTCAAAAATAAAAATTGAAACTATTCAATACAGGAGGTCTAGAATCTTGGAGATGAAAGATGATAAATACGAGTATGAAAAAAGCCTTGCCAAGAGACAGGTCTGTGCAATATTTCATGAAATTGATGCGACGTACTCTGTACTCAGAAAAATGTTTTGTCCAAAGTTCAAAGCTTTACATGGAGATGCCATGTTGGTATCCCTTGGAGGGGCACAGAAATTAATAGGGCGTTTCTACAAAAGTAAGAATTCATTGCTTCAGGGGCTCAAACACATTAAAGTTGTATTTTATTTTGAGACAAGGAATGTTCAGATAGGAAAATCTCAAAAAGTTGACGATGCTTTTAGCCGATGTAGTACAGTGTACATAAAGGAAAATCTCAAAAAGTTGATGATGTTTTTAGCCTATGTAGTAAAGTCCAGACATAACTAATCGATGCTGAATGACATCAATGAGTAATTGATGAGTAAACATTGGGTAATCAACTGATTAGTCATTGATTATTCGCTATAATCAATGGGTAATCGATCGCCAACAATTTTGCGGCCTATCAATTACTCATTAATGACATTGATTACTCATTGATGTCATTGATAAGTAATTGATGTGTTCGGTTACTCATCCATTATTTGATGATAATCTATCGATTAGTCATTGATTACACATCTCGTACTATTTCTAGCAATTTTCTTTCTCAACTTATTTCCAGTGATAAAAATTTACATTAATGGTTCTTGACGATAATAATAGCCAAAATAGGAATTGAACTTGCATGTAGAAAACCAATTTATATAGGCCACGACGAAAACAGAACAGCAAGTCAAATTTATTTATCGAACAGTAACTGAAATATCAAAAACAAAATGTTGAGAAGGTCGAGTTATCTTTCTTACTTTCTTGGTTATTAGAGTCTCAGTGTCTTTGTTGAGAAACAGCCAGCACAGAGTGCCTACCGGGTAAACGTTTTTCGCATCTAAGGTGGTGGTTTCAATTTATCCAGATTTATAGAAACTAAAAGGGGTTCTTGAAAGTGGTTCTTGGACAATTTTCAAGATTGAATAGCCTTGAGTTTCGAGAATCGTCAAGGTCTGGTTCAACAACAAGCGCAAGCTTGCTGACAGCTCTACTGAAGATACTTCAGGACCTTCAAATGCTGCTGTTGTTGCATAACATGAATAAGTAAAGCTTGTATCGTGACATTTATGTCAAAGAAGTCTTTGTTTCTTTATTTGCGATTTGGTATGGTTTGAGTACCCGCAAGATTATACCGATAACTAATCAATGACTAATTGATGACTGAAAATTTTGTGGCCTATCAATTATTCATCGATTACTCATTGATTATTGGATATAATCAATGACTAATCAACTGATTACCCATCAATTACCTATTGATTACTTATTAATTTCATTGATGTCATTGATTAGTTATGTCTGGTACAGTGTACATGTACATGAGTAGCTAAGTGCCATGTCACTCAAAAGCTTGGAAATTCAAGCACCCTCTATCAATCACCAAACAAAGTTTAACCCTTTCAAACCAAAAATTTGTATAAATGAAGGTGTTAAGCTGCTGTATTACAGTGTACATTGTACATGTACCTCATGGAATTAAACACTCATCAGACTCAAATTTTGAATTTTGGTGACATCATGTGAAAACCGAGAATTGAGGTTCTTATAATGTTTCTTAATTTATTAAGAAAAAAGCTTTTGTTGCTGGAAGAATTGTTCACAGGAACCTTTTGAGGCTTAACTGGGAAAAATGCAGGTTCTTTGTATTATTATTAATAGAATTTATGCCATTTTTTACCGAAAAAGTCTCTGAAAAAGGGAGAGAAAGAGAGGAGTCAGGACTACGACGTATACAGTGTACATAAGCAAGGGTAAATGTTTTACAGATTTGATTGTGTATTTTGTCTTAGGTCAAACAGATCCACAGACACCAAGAGCGCCTGCATGGAGGCTCATACCTGCTGCCATAGAAACGGCTGTGGAGGGAAGGAATAAAACTTTGTATTGTCTTGCAGTGGGAAGGTTAGAGCTTAATATTATTTTGGATGAACAATTTTCATACTGAATTCTTTTCATTTAAGTCAATATCAGTGGTAGTACTGAATATTGGATGGGTTTGTGTTCAGAAAAATTAGGGATCCAATTTTTGGGGGGTTAACCCTGGAGGCTCGATCTCAATGCAAATACATTCCTTAAACAGCCAACTTCTTCTTACACCCATTCATTAAAATTTGGTATCTGGTCATTATCTCGTTACTTACAGACCTGCGCCAACGATAACTTGGAAAAAAAACAGAGGTGGAAACTGGCAAAACCTTGTACATGGACAAGATAGTTTTGAGATTGCTAGTGCTTTCCAAGGAAGATTGCTTAACATTATATCTGTGAAACAAAACAGGCATCAGACCACGTACCGTTGTGAGGCTGAGAATTCTGAAAGTGGTGGAAACCCCTTGGTCCATGATATACAGCTGAATGTTGAAGGTAAATGTCTTTAGTGTCGTCTCAATCTCATGCACCGATCCTTTCAATGATCAAATTAAGCACGTCAATCTTACTGTCACACTAAATCACCGCCTGGTTAGCTTAGTTGGGAGAGTGCTGGTCTGCCGAGTGGTGAGTCATGGGTTCAAACTCTGGCTGGACCAACACTCAGGGTCTTTAAATAACTGAGATGAAAGTGCTACCTTTGTAATGACCTCTGCAAACGGTTTTTTTTTCTAGGCCTCTTGGATAAGGATGAAAAACAGTATGTTCCATCTCAAAGCGCTTTCACTTGTCCAGTTCTTTTTTTAGCGTGATGTAAAACCAGAATCCACACCACTGTTCGAAAAGAGTAGGGGACGTAGAACCCAGTGGTGTGGCAAAGCTTTCCTGGGGTGGGTTGGTCTCTGTAAGGAATGATCTTAATAATACACTGTAGGGATGTCATAATAATATATAATATTAATATACAATATTTATAGAGCGCTAATTCCCAATGGTCCAAATTGGTACCTTAACAGCAGTGATTTTGTTACCTCTGCGTCCTGCATCCCTGATGCATAAAAATCCCCAAAGACACATTTTTCCTTGAAAGGTCCTTAAATTTCTGTGCAAATCCTTGAAAAATCATTGAATTGTCTTTAACTTTAACCTTAGTGGCCCGGAAAGTGTTTTTTGACGCTTTTTGGTTGTCTAAGACAATATAAAACATCGCTCAGAGAATTTAAAGGTCATTTACATAAAGCACTCTTTGTTTTACGCACTAATTAACTATCAAATTAAGACAAGTGAACTGAAAAATGTAGACAAGTTGGTAAAGCAAACAGTTCAAGCCTTGAACTCTTGTTCGAACAGACTGGGTATGTGCCTGTTTGTACAATCTGTGAACGTATATATTCCTGGTCCTTGAAATCGAATGTGGACCTTAAGAAGTCTTTTTAAAGTCCTTGAAAAATGGTTGCAATGTTTTGTATGAACCTTGTAACATGTAGACATTTTTATTTTGACTGGGGCATAATTATTTTAAAGAAACTTCAGTTGGTGGTGATACAGTGCAACTGATTATTTGATTGATTCCCTTTGAAGTTGCTCCAAAGTTTATAGCATCGCCTCCGCAACAAGTTGAAATTGATGTTTATGGCAATGGCAGCTTAACATGCGATGTATCTGCAGACCCTTCGCCATCTTTTAAGTGGTACAAGGATGGAAAACAACTCACAACATCAACGTAAGTTTTGTAACAATTGTTTCTCTTAGTACACGCTTTGTGAATTGGTAAATGTAAAGGCCACACCCTGTCTTTATTCTCACACGTTGTTATGAGCGCTAACTTTTGATTTTTACTAGATTTTATTTGAAGAGTCAGGGAAAACTTTAGAGCTCTCAAGAATCATTTGAATGCATAAGAATATCATGTAATTTAATACTCTACACATCCTAGTTGAGCTAAACGTTTTGCACTGGAAACTTATAATTCAGTCTAGGAGTGCATTTGGAAGTTATCTGTATGACGTTCATAACTTGAATATAAAGAGATAAAAATAATAATACGTTGTGTAAAGGCATGAAAAAAAAAAATTTTCTCCTGCACCAAAAAGCTGAAGAAAATATGAAGTGCAAGGTGAAAGCAAATTATTTAGAGGTCAACGGTCAAATTGGGAAAGGTTCTACTACTGTTGTTGTTTTTGTTGTCCAAGTTGGTAGCAATCCCAAGAAAGAAGCTAAAAAGTCCCAGGAGGCGTGATGACAAGTATATTTGCACTCATCAGAAAACTCAATTTAAACTTGACATAATCTGCGAAAACGACCGTTTCTCCTCACTTTTCGCCGCTGAGGACGTTTCGCGAGGAATAACGTCTGCAACTCAGCCACAGAAATTCCGTACTAATGACGTAAAATTGTTTACGAATGACAGGCAAAAGACAAAAGGCAATACAAAAGGCCACGAAGGTCAAATGTAAACGCGATGAATCTCTAACAAAACAGTCAAAACTGGTGGAACATATTCTTCCCTAGAAGAAGCTTTTGAGTTTTGCTGGAGCTCGTTCGCAGATGAACACCACACTTACGTAAAATCGACCAGGAGAAACGTAAAATTGAACAAATTTGGTCGTGGAACCCCATGACTACCGGATATATTATGTAAACATTGATTTACGTCATCAGTATGGAATTTCTGTCGCTGAGTCGCAAACGTTCCTCCACGCGAAACGTTCCTAGCGGCGAAGAGCGATGAGAAACGGCTGTTTTCGCAGGCTAAACTTGGCAGTGTTACACATAAACCTCTCCTCCCTTGCCCCTCTTTTATTGCTAGTCGCAGGTACGGTTTCAGTATGTTACTTACCACGGAAATAGAGGATATTACATGGCCGCGCGGAGATACGAAATTTCTCTTCGAGTGTTGAATTATTTCGCGAGTGAGCGCAGCGAACAAGTGAAATATTTTTCAGCACGAGAAGAGAAATTTCGTATCTGCAAGCGGCCATAAACACCCAACCTTTTTCACTTTATTAGTTTTTGCTGTGAAAGGCGCGATTTATTACTTGTTATTTTCACACGTGAAGGTATCATGTTTTCGCGCGAAAGCTCACTTGGTATTTTATTGGTGTTTATACAATAAAATGTTGTATTTCACAGTGTGCATGTAATATTCAGTGGCAACAAGTTGGTTTTGAAGAATGTAAGGAACCCGGATGAAACTGGAATTTATCAATGTGTGGCGGAGAATCAACATGGAATGATCGTGTCTTTCACGTATGTCAAAGTTATAGGTAAACACTTGGAAAATTGCATAAATAGTAAAATTTCCACTCTAATACTGGCGTGTTAGATAAGGAAAACTTAACATTGCAACTTTTGTATAAGACGAGGAATACTAGACTTTGCTTGGATGCAGGAAAAACAAACAAACAAACCGCAAACAAAAAAGGTTGAGATCACCGCACAAACTTATGCAATAAACACTGCCTTTTGCGCGTTTTGAGTCTGCTAGTATTTTCCTGAAGGGTAAAATTTCTCACACGCGAATTTCTCTTTTTGCAGCCATAAAACCATCTTTCGCGGAGTCCGGATTTGGTCCATTCTACTTGTTCAAAGGCACTGAAGGACGATTGAAGTGTAATCCAAAAGCAGCTCCACGGTCAACTAAAGACCAATATAAATGGTATAAAGGAACCACACTACTGACGTCATCATCACCCTACAGAATAGAGTATGGGGAATACAGTACATT